CGCCTGAGTCCAAGCAGCGACTGCCTGCGTGCCATCTCTGACCCGCCTTATGAAGGCCGCGCCCACGATGTGAGCGTAGCCGGCTTGATTCCGCCGCCACGTGGGAAAGTTCGCCACCTGCGCCCCGCGGTGGGGCGACTGGGCCGAAGAGCTGCCAGGGTGCCGAGAGTACTCAAAACCTTTTGTCTGCCGTAAAGTAACAATTTGTTCCCTTTCAACAAAGTCTGTGGTGTACATCTTGCGGAAAGCTATAAGTTCCAGTGTAATAAAAAAGCATTACACGCATTCGAAGGCTACATAAAGCATACACAGTCTACAGCAGGCAATAGACAGCTTCTTAAAAGAACGTCTTCTTTGTTATAGATAATCATGCGGATACCTAATTAGGCGTAAACAATAGTAAAATACGATACTCAACAAGCCAATAAGTGAGAACTAACCCCTGATCGCGCGGTCCTTAGCTCAAATTTTTTTTTCTCGGCACTATATGGAGGTGAAAGAAAGCACACGCAGCAGGACCAAGTATTGCTCATTGGGAGCCTGCGGGAATATGCTACCGTCGTCGCGCGCAGCTGGCTCCCGAATGACTAGGCGTGGCACCCATCATGACCCGATGACCTCAAGGGGTAGCTCATAACCCATCAATACATATCGCAGCGGACGTATAACGTCACGTCTAAGCAGAGCAGCCAAGATTGGATAGCGTCCGAAGTGCCTTCTTCCACTAGCGATTGCATTAGTAACCTCAATGGACGACTCGTTGCAATCCAAGAGCACTAACAACTCCAAGCGTTGAATGGACTCCCGGAATATGCAGAACCCATGTGAACTGCTGATTAAATAATACTCCTCACAAACTACCCTCCTGAATAAACTTGAACTTGCGTGATCATTCTCAAACACCAAAGTATAACCGTACCATTACAAAAGTATAACGAAGCAACGCATGCATAGCGCATACATGAAACCTTCTCTGCTTCAGCGATGTGCCAAAATGAACAAAATGTGTTCAAATTTTGATTATACCAAAACAAAAAAGCTACTATATTAACGAACTTCATGCGTCATTTTATCTATCTCGCTCCCTTGCCTTTACCAGGACTGGCAACTGTACATCCCAGTTGGTAGAATGTATTACCTAAATCAGATACTTTGTTTAGACGTTTTCCTAACATATTTTCATTTACACCATACGTGCGGCGCAAATGCTATATTTGTTTTTAAATGTTCAAGTATAAAGACATTTTTTTTAAGATTAATAGATTTCTTTAGAACAAAGCCCTGGAAAGCTACATTAATGCAGTTTGTGTAAGTTAATGACCAGGAGAATATAGTATCGGGGCGAAGCGTAAATATCAGTCGCTAATTAACTAAAATACGTAAATTATTTTAGTTAATAACAATTAACATAGGGTTATAGTTATAAACATTCTAAGCGTCATCAAAAGCCATTAAATCAGTTAATATTAGAAAGACTTGGAACACCTGGGAATCACAGTGGAGTGCTAAAGTTGCCACATGGACAGCATGAGCAAGGCTACCAGTGCGATAATGTGCCCGCGTGTTTTTTCTATTTCAATTTTCGCCCGCGTTTTCTCAACGCAGCCCTGAGTCTGTTGCGCGAGTGGCAACCTTAGCGCACTACTGCGTTTCCTTCCCGCACCAAGTCTTTCTAAAAATAAGGGGTGGGTTGAACTTTTGCCGAATCGAAAATTCGGTGCCGGAGCTTGGGGTTCGGCAAAGCCCAACGTTTGCCGAACTTTTCTCAAGAATCGGCTAAAATTCGGCAAAAATGCCTTGTTCCCAGGCTTAACGTCGATATTTGTTTTGTTTTTTTTTTTCTGACGAAAAACGGATTTCTTTTTTCTCAATTTGAATGCAACATGTAATACATATTGACGCACTAATTACTTAATAATGTGATGTTCTACAAGATAATTGTATCGGTGTCGTTTTTGTGTATTTACTGACAATTTAAGAACGACTCCTTGCAGAAGTGGCATGACAACGTGGTTGGGTAGTAGCGGCCGCAGTCACGAATCACGCTACGAGAGTTTTGGTATTGAGTCCTCATCAGTGCAAGTCTACAAGTGTGTGTACATTGTTAAAGTAAAGGCCATAACACAGAGTTCTTACTTTCTCGTAAAGTCACCGTTTCGTGCGCGAAAACGAATATAACGGTTCCTGAGCCTTCACGAGAAGAGATAAGAATCTTATTGTAAATATGCCTGTTTTTGATTTGAGTCACTTGACGTCAGCTTTGCATAAAGGTGTGTGTCCCATATTCGCTACGCCTCGATTTTACCCTTTAAAACGCCGCTTTCTGGTGTCAGGAAACACACGGAATTCAGGAAGATAGGAAAAGTCAGGAATGTCGGATATGCCACATCGAGAATGATAGTTCGCATATGCATGAAAACTGCAAAATAACGCTAATTAAAACGGAATATCATTCTTTTTGCCACAAACTGCTCGTGAGCCGAAAAGAGGAGCGCCATAATTGCGAGGAGTGCTTTAAAGTAATTGTCCGTCAATGTTTCAACTACTTATGGTGAATTCCGCTCGCAGATCTCGAGCGCTCCAAAAGCGCTCCATTTGGAGCGCGCATATTCCACTCGCAGATCTGGCTCGAGCTGGTCATCTTCCGCTCGTAGATCTCTGGCAGCGCCCGCTCCACGGAGCGCCCCAAACCCTGCCGAACTTGCTCTGCGGGTTTTCACGGATCTCTCCGGAAGCTGACAGAGCGGCCCACGTGATTTCCGTCTAAATCGGCGGTGCGCATGCGCGGCGAGGTTGGAGAGATCGGCGGGCCGGTCGGGTCGTGGAGTTGGATCTGTTCGGGTGCGTCGGATGTTTACTCTGGATTGTGACGGCTCGAACGCTTCTACCTCGCGTAGATCAGGGATAAAAAGCCGGGAATGTGGAGCGTGGCAAATCGTAAGCGTTGACGTCTGTGATCGTAAGAGGAAGAACGAGAAGAACGACAGAAAAGCCGGAGGCAGACGCAAGGTTAGGCCTATTCATTTCGCAGCCAGTGATTGTTTACCTTTTTACACTGCATTCTTTCGGCGTTTTCCCGTGAAATAAAGCAAGAAGTGGTTAGGCAACGACCGAGCAAGTGATGGTTTGTTACCTGTGTTTATTAAAGTCGTACTACAAATCTGAACTCCACCGCTGGCAATCGCTGCATGTCCGTGCCCCGCCGCTTCGAGGCGGCCGAAAGGTATGTGACGGTGCCGAACGCGGACGTCTTCGTTATTTGTGACATGGGCGCCGTGGTGCGTATAATTTCGCCCGGCCTGTGTCGCGTGTTACTTCTGCAGCTAAGCAGTGACAGTCGTCACTGGTCGTCGGAAAGATCAGCCGGCTGAGGCGTTGGTGGGCTTATCAAGTTCGAGCAGCGGCCATTTTGTACGGCGAAAGGAAGAGAGGGGTGGGGAGGGAGAAGGGGTGGGGAGGGGTGTGGGGGAGGTCGCTCCAAAAATGCAAGTTTCTCTTCCCCTCGTCGATTCGGAGCGGGTCCCACGGAGCGGAATTTCGCCTCCCTCGCGGATTTTGGGAAGCGCTCCGGATCTACGAGTGGAATTCACCATTAGTTGCATCAATGGAAAAGTCAAATGAAAATAACGTCATCCAGAATGTACCGCATAATTTTCAATTCCGCAGTAGACTCCGTAAATTACTGGTCGACCTTGTTCTTGAGGCAGAAAATATTGAAGAAAACCACACTTGCAGAATTGCTCGCAAACGCACAGTTACCATATTGCCTACTGCACAGCTCACCGTAACCGGTGGTTGTACTACACTCCGATGGTAACCGCACGACTGCACGGCGACCTTTTGCAATCCATGACCCAGTCGTGTTCTTGCGCGTGCAGAGGCATTTGCCGAATTTTAGCAGAATCTTTGCCAAACTTTGCCGAATCTGAAGTTAGTCAGATTAGGTCCATCACGCTAAATATGACTAACCTCGCTTTTTTTTTGTTGACGCAGAGCAACTTATGGTGTGAGTCATGTTTATTTAAACCCCTTAGAATACTTACTTACTTTTTAGTTACTTATTGGGCTTACTGTGTCAATTAGACCCCTACATTGTGTTCCCTTGGCCTTATAGCTCGCTTGCAGGAACCGAATTAGAAAAACTTTAACGCAGTTTTTCTTTTTAGACAAATATGTTACACTTACGCAAAAGCACCCAGCATTTGTTTTGAACATTTCAAGACTCCCAATAGCTTGAAAACCGAAAAAAAGGTTATATGTTTTGTTATAATGATAAACGTTATAACAACAACCAGATTACTTTTGATATTGTTAATTTGTTTAAACTTTCAACAACATTGGGATCTAGCAAAAGTATCCCGTGTACTTCAGGAAAAGCAATGTAAAAAAATATCTGAACAATATGCGACAGGGCACACACTATCTCCTATTTAAAGAGTGCTATATATTCAGACAAAACAGTGCACAGACGCCTTGTCGGAATGTACTCCTAGATCTTGTTAACGTAGCGGCTTGTTGCGCACTCCTAGATCTTTTTCTTGATACTTGAATCATCGTACAAACTCCGAAACATTACATGTTTTACAGCAGTATTTCTGTATGCTCCTCCAGGTGAAATATTGATCTAAGGTCATATGTACCATCACTCGACAACAGAATTCAAAAAAAGACTCTACGATACGTCAAATTAAAAAACAAAATCTTAACTCGCGACCATCCGTCACAGATTGAACGCGGTATATAATTGTATGATGTGGTCATAAATAACACTTAAGGTTGCTTCGATCATCTTCGTCTGAGTTTGAGTCACGGCGTTACGACTGCCTCTGTTCTGATACAACGCCTTGTGGAAACTAGAGATCCACAGGAACAACCGCATCGTAAGAGGTCATGACCGGGCATGACAAAGACTGTCGATCTCCAAGGTAAATTTTTAAACGAGAAGGTACCAAACACGTGACCCTAACCATATAATCTGAACTCTTCTCTTCCTGTCCCAGGCAAGCCAACCGTGGAAACGACCCTACGGTGGACACGGGGTTTCCATGGCAGACCCATTGCAGAACTTCTTTGCACTGTTGACAGCGCCCATCCAAGTCACACAGATTGGTTGCGCAGTGGCCTTTCCCCACAGGTCCCCGGCGAGTCCCTGCGGCTCGCCGTTGCAGGTAACAACCACACAGTCAAGTTCCACAATGTAAAGGAAAGGGACTACGGCAACTACACCTGCGTCTCCAAGAACAAATACGGCATTGCTATGAGCACTGTCGAGATCTCAGGTGAGTCAGTAATACCGGACTAATTTGCTAGCGTGACTTCGCAAAAAAAAAAAAAACGGTACAATTAGATTAGTTTCTGAGAATAATCATCACTCTTTTGCCACCACTGCTCTACCTGGTTGGTACTTTTACACATGTTAAAGTAAATTTGACAGCTCTTTTCCGCTCTTATTTAGCGGATTGTGAGTGCCGATGCGTTTCTGCGAAGGCAGTGGCAATCGTTTCAGTGATCCGGAATGGAAACGTAGTGCTTCTGGATGTGGGCGAATTTTGTTCCCACCGAAAACTCCGATACTTCTGCGGGTGTTTGTTGTAGCTGTCTTACTGTAATTCTTACATGTATCACTATTCTAATACAAACAGGCACCATAATATCAGCCTATTTACGTTATTCTGCGCGTCCTGCTCTCTTACCCTTATAAGAACAGAGTGTTACGCATTCGTTGATCAATTTTACTTTTTTATTTCAAATGCTTTGCTGACATCATACGATAGTTGTATTTTCAGATAGGGTTAAGGCTCAATGTGAATATTACAGTTGTTTCCGTGAGATGTCCCCCAAGATATTTTTTTACCTCTTTGATGCTCCTAATAGCAGCAAAATATTAGTGCCTTGTTCAGTCGTTGTTTTATGCAGAGCGTGTATTGTCAAGAATGTTCCGAACCGGAACGCCCGATGACAGCCGAGAATGAGCTGGAACTTTCCGAAAAGTGCAGAGTTACAAAAAGGGATCTGGGCCAGGCGGGCTTCGATACCCTGTCCCTCGTATGTGTTGGAAACTTCACCACGCGCGCGGCATTACACGCCCTCTAAGACGCAGAGGCCCGCTGCTTACCGAAAGGCTGACAAAATGAAAACCTATTGAACTATATAACGAAATGACTTTGCATTATCGCAGTTTATCAAGGTCACATCTCCGTCAATTACTTCATCGTTGTCATCTTTTTTGTGAGTAGTACTGGCACTCATTTGCCCATTCGTTGAAGTGCCGGTCATCGTCATAGGTTGTCGTCGTAAGTTCTCGTCTCAGGCTGTCGTCTTATGATGTCGTCTTAGGTCATTGTGATCGCTCGTCATCATAGTTCGTCGTCGTCGTCGTCGGTCGCCGTCGTCAAAGGTCGTCTTTGTCGTAGGTGGGCGGAGGGCTCCGTCGTCATTGTGGGTCGTCGTCGTAGGTCGTCTTCGTCATCGTAAATCGTTGTCGGGTGTCGTCGTCGTCGTATGTCGACGTCGTAATCATGCGTCGTCGTCGTGATCGTATAGGTCAGCGTAGAAATCGTAGGTGGTCATCGCCATCGTAGGTCGTCGTCGTCGTAAGTCGTCGTCGTGGACGTCGTACGTCGCCGTAGCAGATCGTCGTCGCAGGTCGTCGCCGCCGATCGTAGTCGCAGGTCGTCGTCGTAGTTTGGCTTCATTCGGTGCGACTCGCCATCGTTTAACGCGACACGTCGTGGTCGTTGATCATCGTTGGTCATTCTCGTCTATGTTGTCCTTACCAAAAGCGTTCCATGTCTACTACATGGAATGGTTGAGCGAGGATGAACGTCTCCTCTCACATGCACCAAGGTGTCAGGAATAAAAATGAGCAGATGCGTGTGCAACTTAAATACTTAATGAGGCGAAATTTTGACTTCAAACGTAAAAATAAGTAGCGCGTTACCGGCGCTTTCATACACGCGTTGTGTTCAAGAGTGTTCCAAACCAGAACGATGACAGTGGAGAATACACTGGAACTTTCCCAAAGAGTGCAGAGTTATAAATGAAACACCTGGGCCTAGCGGGGTTGGAATCGCGTTCCTCCGGATGTCATTAGCGTGTCTTTCAATCTTCGCCACGCATGCGGCAATATTAGAGTGCCGTTCGAGCACTAGCTGTATGCAGGTATTTAATACGTTTGCCGACGCTCACAGCTACCAAACTTTATGGCTAAAACTGGAGCATGTTCCAGCAAGATGAATTTATGTTTCTCTACAAGGTTAGAGCGAATAGAACTTCGGCGCTGTTTCGTATACTAGTTTGAAGGGTATTGGTGGGTAGCGAATTTCGGAGCTTAGATTAGTGCTACAAATGATCACTTTAAACAACACGAGAAGGTTTGATGATTGTCTGTCAATCCTACTAGAAAAGAAGCAAAAGAATGGTGATTGTTTGATTGCGCTAACAGTTTCGCGCAGTGAACAGTTAATATAGTTTTATTAACATAATATTAAAATAATGAAATACCATCTACGTGCCGTGCGCGACAGAGCTACCCCATCAATGCATCGTCGCTTCGCAATTTTCATTTCTAGGTGTTTCAATCGAAGACCTGGTATATACAACATATGTTTCTGCAACACATGCTTACCCGCAAAGCACTACATGTTTTTGCCCGCAATATTTTAGAGTATTGTCATACTTCTTGCACGCGATTCTCGAAGGATGTATTGTGCATAAAGAAACGAATTCAACGCCTGGCAAAGCAGGCGTTTTGGATTAATTAGATGGAAATTGTAATCACGTAATATTCTATTTGAGATATAAAACCCATTTATACTAACACGTGCTACTCATAAGTATACCTCACCATACACGTGGACTTACGTACAAAATATGATGCCTTTACATCCGTTCACAGGCAAGCCAACGGTGAACACAACGTTGCAGTGGACACGAAAATGTGACGGCAACATGAGTGCAGAACTTGTTTGCGTGGTATTCTCTCCCGGTCTAACCTTTACGCACTGGCAGCGGGATGACGGGACCTTGTTATTCCATGGCGAGTCCGTGCATCTCTCCAGCGTCGGCTACAACACCACAGCCAAGTTCAACAATGTCAGCGAACGCGACTACGGCAACTACACATGCGTCTCCAAGAACAAATACGGCATTGCCATGGGCACAGTCGAGATCTCGGGTGAGTTTGGCAAGCATGATATATTTGAGAAGTAGCTTACATTCTCATTCATTTTATTAACTACTTCTCACGTAACAACCTACTCTATCCACGTTTATACATGTCTGAACATTATTTCGTCAAAGAACTTTGATACAAAACTGGAACTCTTCAGTGTGATTTTGATTTCGTGCTTAAGTTTTAAATATACTTCTCCAGCAATATGTTAATTTTACTGCCTACCTATTAAAATATAACTGATTAATCTATAGAAACAACTTTATGTAAATATTCTGCTGTAATGGTTCTTCTCTGTAAATATTGTGCTATAATGGTTCTGCGTGAAAATGTAAACAGCCGAGGCAAAAAAGAAAACATGTTTTAGGCTGCCTTCGGGGGTGTTTAGACGTTTTTCGTGCACTCTCATCTCTATGCACCTAAACGGCGTATCCGGTAGAGGCGACGAAAAGGTAATTAAACAATTAACCTGTAAATAGTAAAAACTAGAGGGGAGGCAAAACTAGAATGCCTAACGGTTACGCTTATATCCAAAATGCAATTTCGGCCCTACTGGAAGTGACGACAACTCAAGATAGCGGCGCCCTGGTGAAAAAGGTTTATATTCTCTTGCTTCATACAAACACTGCAAGATGGATGCTGTCGACTTTGTTCAGATGTTTTATCTTTTCTTCTTTTGGGAAACTCTGCTGTATTGCGAGGATCTGTTTTAGAGCAATGCATTTTGTTATGAATAAAGTTTCTATAATAAAGGTAAACTTTAGGTTCCCCACAGAAGAACGTAAATTTTCAAAATAAAGATGTTGTGCTTTTCTTCTTCTAGGTTCTTTGAAAATCACGAACCAAAAGGAATTTTGTTTTTTGTACTGGACCGGAATAATTTTTTGTAAACATTCTAAAAAAGTAATATTATTTTTAAAAAAAATGTAACTAACCTTTTCTTGATACCATAAACTAACACACTTGAAGTTTAGATTGGTTTTGCACAAAGAAATAAGATATTCAGTTTTATTAAAATATATAAAACATTGAAATGACAAACTGTCATTTCCAGAATAAGGTCACTGTAGCATTTGCCGTAAGATGTTCGCACACCGCAGTCACCTACCATTAGGAATTTTGCCTAAACAGCTCTTTGACAAATGATACTCAAAATATTTTTATGACTTACATACAGAAGTCCAATTTAATGTGTGTATGCTACTCTGAAAAAGCTAAATAAAAATGCGAAACCATCAGGTAACCGAAGTTTCAATCCAAAGTAAGATATGATTTATACGTCCATAAAGGTACAAGCACAATGTGCACCACTCTTCACTTGCAGCGTTGTTTAGACTTCTGGTAGAATTGCAGGTTGATTATGTAGAGAAAAAGCGAAGCTATTGTAAATGACCAACACGCACGCACACACACACACACACACACACACACACACACATATATATGTATATATACATACCGGGTGTTTTTTTCCCTTGTTCCTGCAGATTTGTTAAAAAGCAAAAAAAAAAAAAAAAAAAAAAACATGAAAGCTATAATTATGCGGTTTGTGTGAGTGAGTTATACGCCCAGAAGACATTACGTAGGTGGTGGTGGTTAATCCTTCCGATAAGTCGGTTAACTAATTAAAATTCACTAATTAACTTTTCATTTACTCAAAATAGACATATGTTCTAATTAGAAACTTAGATACGCCCAGAAGACATTATGTGGGTGGTGGTGGTTAATCCTTCCAATAAGTCGGTTAACTAATTAAAATTCACTAATTAACTTTTCATTTACTCAAAATAGACATATGTTCTAATTAGAAACTTGCTGCGCGTCCTCCAAAACCCCTAAATCAGTAATTTCTAGAAAGGGGGAGCGCGTGAGAAGCGCAGTAGTGCGCTTCTCACGCGGGGGCTAAATAAGGGTCAGAAAAATTGTGCGGGCGCCTTACCGAAACCGCTAGCCTTGTTCCTGCTCCACGAGTGGTAACTTTAGTGCACTACTACGCTTTTCAAGCGCTGTACGTCTTTCTGAAAATGACTGATCTAGTGGTTTTCGATAACGCTCAGCAAGTTTCTAATTGGAATCATATGTCTATTTTCACTAATAATAAGTTAATTTGTGAGTTTTAATTAATTAGTCGACTTATCTCAAAGATTAGCCACCCACATATTGTCCCCCTTGGCGCATAACTCACTCCTACAAACCGCATAAATGCAGCTTTCATGGCTTTTTAAAACAAATCTGCAAGAATAAAAGGCAAAAAAACAACAACCCGGTATATATATATATATATATATATATATATATATATATATATATATATATATATATAACTTAGTACTGGCATACTCGATGACATTTTTGTTTTGACAGTATAATGAGATACTTAATAATTTTGCCTGAGCGAAGCACCGTAATTATTCTTTGCAAAAGAATGCAGAAGGGGGACTGCGTTTCTTGGGTGGAAAATGCTATATAACTGTAAGAAAGTTTTGAGTGGCCTTTCACTGGTCGCGCATCGATAATTAGAAAATATAGAAACTTGAGGGACGATGAAGTTTCGCCTTTAAAAGTCGAACGGGATAGCGTTCGCGTTTCCCGTTCGCAAAGACTTCTCATTTAAACACGCGTTCGCTGACAAGCCGTGCAAGCGTATGTGCCTGGTCTAGTCGGTAGCGTCACGTGTCAAGTGACGTCACACATGGCTGTAACGTCGAGACCCTATTGATTCGCTAAATTTAGCGAGAAGATTTTAGGATAAATTTGGCGGAAAAATGTTTCGCTAAATTTGGCGGGATTATTTTGGTCGTCAAATTTAGCAATTAAATCTTATAAATCAATGCGCGCAGCATCGTGCACGTGGCTGGGCGCGTCGCATTATGGGATTTTTTGGTTCCACCGACGTCGACCACGACACCGGATTTTCTCCGACACGAGCTCCTAAACGCTATTCCGCTAAAACGTAAGAACGTTATTGAATCAATAGTGACTAACTTCCAATTTTGAATCGATGATTAAAAACCGGGACGTTGGTGGGCGCTGCGTATTCAAACTGCTCACATGTATTTTTTTTATCAACAAGAAATTCGAACGAAGTGAACGTATTGCCGTTATTAACAATATCGCCCACGTCTTATAGTCTTTAAGAGGATGCAGCGATGCGGGGCGTTTTTCGTACATTTATTTTTCTTTGCCACTCTATTTTTGTCTATTTTTATTCCATTTCTTTATGGCAACATCATCGCATTCACGATCTTTTGCAGATAAATCAGCCGAAACTCAAGATCTTCACCCGACGTTCCCGACATCCACAGAAGACTCCGAAATGACCAATGAATTGACCTTGTTGCCCGGAGATTACCACACAACAAAGGAAAAGACTGAGAAAGCATCTAGAAACAGTTCAACAGCCAGAACTCCATAAGGGTCAACACCAATAAATCCAATCAATCAGTCGAGCATATTTATGACAGCAGAAAAGCATGCATACATTAAACAATTGAAACTCAGATTGTAGAAAACGGAACGAGTTGCTAAGGAGCCGTGTTTTCAACAATGTGATAAATAAAAATTGCTGACACATGCTCTTGCAAGCTGTTTTAGAAAGGGTGTTTAAAAGTATGACCGTATCGTACGTAATTAAAAATGCTGCACATTTTGTTTGTAAGCGTGGAATAATTATTTATTAACAGTAAGGAAAATTCTGTACAAATCCTTGTGTGATCAAGCTAGCAGTTTATTGCTGCTAGCTTGATCGGTGGCCGAGAGCATATTAGCTAACCGCACCTCTGCTCGCTTCACTCTGGATGAGCACCGTACCGGCGTGCAGTTGATTATCACTACTACGTGATAAACTTTAATAGCCCCAAACTATGGCAGCCGTATTGCGCATTGGCCAAATTGTTCATCTACGGCGTAAACTAGTGTTAACACACCTCAAAGGTAGACCGACCTTACGCTGTTTGAACACGGATGTCTAATTTGTGTCCTGCTGCCACTGGAACACGCGGTATTCCGTCTCAGTACAAGGAATAGGTCTGCAAGTCATAGAACTAAGGTGCGAGTGCCCTTCCTGACGCCGGCAACAGGGTGCGCACTCAAGCAGAGATGCCTGGCCACCGTCTTTCCTTGGCTGACACAGTATGTTTAATCGTAGAGTGACTAGGACTCTCCTTCTTGCACAAACCAGATTCTGTTCTTAGAAGGGTGCACTGTCATAAATATCAGTGGGTCATTCCATCTCAAGCGTCGCAAGTGTTGCGCTCGACGACCTTTGATTTCTAAAAAAAAATTAGCCGCATTGTTCGTAGCCATGACCTAAAATATTTTTGACGGAAAATATTTTTGTTGGCGTGAGCGCGGTTTTAACTTTAAAAAAATAGCGTGAAACTAAGTATCACTCTAACAAATGAAAAATCAACTGTTTTTATGAAACACCCAACAATCTATTTTTCTTATATCTGCACGACTTTTGACTTGCAATGTGGTTGGGCTTGTGCAGTTTTGTTTAATTTAAGTATACTCTTTTAAACACAATTTTTTTTTTAATTTTTAAAATTAAAAATATAATTGCTCCGGGGACTTCATAAACCATTTTATCGGCTGTCCTGCAGGTATTTGATCTATAAAAAAAATAATCAAGCCACTCAATTAAATATGTCGGAGTAAAACAAAAATCCTGAATTTGCCAAAAAGTGCGTATTCACGCATAAACAGCCGTTTATTTCACCCCGAGGTTCTCCAAGTACAAATACAAAATATTATGGGTTTCCAAGGACAATCGATAATCTTTTGATGCTGAAAGTCTAACCAAGGCAATTTTGGTTTAAAGCGAGAAAACAATTTTTGAAGTTGAACTCTCGCACCACAACCCGGCGTCGCTTCTTAAAGCCTCTTCGCCGCACAGCACGCCACCGGTGACGATAGCTGACTCGATTAGGTCCAAAGGAAGAACGGAGTTTACTGCCACTTCCCCTTGTCCGTCTTTTCAGCTGCAAGGGAAGAAGCGGCATGCATCCTGTTGATAATCGGAGGTGCCGCTAGTACGTTGCCATAGCAGGCCCGTTGTGCGCTTTGTATCCCAGGGCGGCTCCTCACACTCCGAAACTCAATGCTATTCTTGCTTTAAGAAAAACTTACTTTGATTAAACTTTCAGAATCGAAAGACAATCAGTCGTTTTTTCGAACCCACCATATTTTGTATTTTTACTTGGACCACCTCAGGGTGAAATAAACCGCTGTTCATTCGTCAAAACGCACTTTTTGCCAACGTCAGAATATTTGACTGCGAGATATTTATTTGTTCGGTTAAAACATCTTTTTATAGATTATATACTGGTAAGGGGGGCAGCCGATAAAAAGTTCTTTTAAGTCCCTGGGACAATTAGATATTTTTAATGATAATAAATATGATAACATTTTCAAAACAAATGGTGTTTATAAAAAATATTTAAATTAAACCAAACTGCACAAGCCCAATCACATTGCAAGTCGAAAGTTGTGCAGCTTCAAGAAAAAAATATTGTTAGGTGCTTTATTAAAAAAGCAGATTTTTCTTAAATTATAAAGCGATACCTAAGTTTCACACTATTTTTAAAAGTTAAGACCGCGCTCACGCCATGAATTTTTTTTTTGTCACAGGTATTTTAGGGCATGGATACGTACAATGCGGCAAAAGGCCATGAATATTTTTTTAGAAATCGAACGTGGTTGAGCGCAACGTCTGGGACGTTTAACATGGAATGACCCCCAGTGTAAAACACGGAAAAGGCTTGCCAAACTTCTTACCATTATTTTTCTTATTCCTTTCGTTTTTTTTCCTTCAAGAATTTCCGTAAAAGTAGTATTTTTGTTCCTATTACTTTTACACAAATACATACTTTTTATTTTAATTTTTTTCAAAGCAGTTCCAAGTCCTGTAAACATGCAGAAAGTGGGCTTTTACCTAAACGACACTGAGCTTCTCTTCTAGAATCTTCAAGGAACAGAGTTGGCCTTTTTTGCATTCTGAGTGTCCAATTTGTGGGTCAAGAGATCCGCCAAATGGACACCACCAAGTGCTGGCCACGAAAACCATATCGTTCTGCGGACCATCCCCTATAAAGATGGCCATCGCCACTTGAAGTATGTATTATCGCCATATGGTGATAGGTGTCTTTATGCATTCGATCAGCTAGCTATAGATGCTAATCGTCGTTTAGACGTCATCCTATTGACCTACGTAGCCATTTCGCCACTGTCAACCCTTCGCCACTCTATAAGCTATCGCCAATGAATCGCCAGTGTATCAGCATACTAATGTCAATGGGAGAAAATAAAGACTATAAATTTTATAACCTTTTGATCGCCTACATAGGCATATTGAAATTAGTAGGTCAATACACTGGCGATACAATGGCGGAAGTTTGATGGCAGCAAAATGGCTACGGAGGTCGATAGGATGGTGTCTAAACGAAGATTAGCGTCCATTGACGGCCGTGGATGGTATTGTAAGACGTCATTTGGTCGACTTTCATAGCCATTTCGCCAATGTCAATGTTTCGTTAACTTTCAGCTGGCCAGCCAAAAAACTGTGATAAGAATAGCATCCATGACATTACCAATGTCTTTGGCAGTGCCCTCTACGTCCTCGTGGGATTTCATGGTCTGATGCACATAGTGCTTGCTAGCAATATCGGAGGAAAACGAAAATTGCAGGACAGTTTAATGAACCAAAATTTTTATATCACAATGTTATCAAAATGATTAGTGATTTAAGAAACGGAGTTAATTGCCCAATCGTAAACGATGAATGAAAAAATTGCCTTCCCTTGCTTCCAGAACTGTCTGTAAGTTATGAGCTGAAAGAAAAAAAAATATTCCAGTTTAAACGGGCATATGAGGAGCATATATATTCTTGTAGCACATTCGCTAACATGCACAGAGGAGCCCTGTTCGTATGTTTTCTGGGCTGATATGTTCACGGACGCCGGTGCTGTCGAACGTCCATAAGTATATATGTTTTTGAATTACAGGCTTTATGCACTGCATTCCCGGTTCTTATGCCCCAAAACTGCCAAGAAAGGTGGCCGGAATGACTACTAGGGACACACGGCTACCCTGTTTCTGTTGCTTTACTCCTTTTATTTAACCTCCTTGCCTCTCTGCATTGTGTTTCTCGCTTGGTCCTGTATGACACGGCACGAGACTCAGGCTCTCTTGACAGCCCATATTTCTTTGCCTCCTCCATGCCTCCATGTTCAAGCATTGTTATTTGCATCAAGCTCCACTGCTTTGATCTGGAATGCAGGGTGCAGTGATTTGTGTGAGGGAGCTATAGTTTAGCTCGATGGGCTCAGAACTTTTGCATCCTTATATTTCAATACCTCTTAAATACAACTATTGAGAAACAGGTGACTCTGATGCAGAGATGCCAATAATGAAATTACTGTAATCGAGTTATAGTAATTAAATTACTTTTTGAAGTAATGAGTATGTAATAAAATATTTCTCTAGGCTAGTAATTATGCAATGTAATGAATTACTTTCAGGCAGTAATTTCGAGAAAATTACTCATTACTTTTCAAATCGCTTTTGTCCTAAATTAGAAATTTTCTTTCCAAGCTTTAAAAATAGAGAAAATTGTTTTGTATGGTGAAATTTTGTGCAAGAGCATCGGAGGAAATTTACGACGGCCACCTGAGCGCAAAGCCTTGTGCGAGGAGCTGGACAGACGCAGAAAGGAGGGTTAGGAAGGCGAAGGAGGAAAGCTTACGTGTAGACATCGTTGGAAGGCCACGGATTATCAACTCTAGGCACGACAGAGTCACGGTGTCGCGTCATTAGGACGATACTATACTTTGTTTATTCCTAAGCTGACAGTGAGGTGGGAGCAGCAAGATTACCTAACAAGAGCTGCAGCTTTTTGACGTCACATAACTGCGGTGGCACTGCTGCCGGCACTGCGGATGCGCAGTGCCTCGCTTTTTCTGGATCTGGTTCCTGCACACGCGCTGCCTGGGCAAACAAGGGCTTGTCTTGTAAACACTGTGTTGATGTAGACGGTAAATAAAATGAGCCCCAATTCCTTCCTCCAATTATTCAAAAGTGATGTAAAAGTAATTTAAAAGTAATTTAATCAGTTTTGGAAAGTAATTGTGATGTGATGTCATTACATATGATCTGCGGTAATTTGTAATGTATTTTACATTTTGTCAGGTTTCAAAAAGTAATTATTACAGTAATTTAATTACTTTTTGAATGTAATTTTGCCATCTCTGCTCTGATGTCGGACCACTGCGGTGTTGCGGATGTCGGCACAGCACATGCGCAGTCATGTCTGCTCACACAAATTTGGTTTCTGTGCACGCAGTGCCCAGAGCTGCTGTGGGAAAATGCAAGCTTGTTTGTCAACAGTGCGTTACTTATAGTTCAGACGCAATTTTAGAAATTGTAGAGAAAATTGTCACCTCATAAAATAAGGCAATTTGTTTACAGCCCTGAAAGTTGATGAAATAAACTGAGATAATATATAGCTTCCTGGAACTTCTATAGCTATCCCAAGGGCATTATCAGTTCTTATATTTTCTCTCATCTGACGATCCTT